GACTGTAGTTAGGCCAAACTTAGTTTAACAGATATTTTTATTCCATCAACAGTTAAAGTGTGGAATAATATTCCCTTAGCTATTAGAAATTGCGACTGATGCATCGTTTAAATCTTATATCCAAGTGAAGGAAATATGTGCACCTAAATATTATTAATATGGAATAAGGAAGTTCAGTGTTATGCACACTAGATTAAGATATATGATGAGTACACTTAATTATGATTTATATAGAATCAATGTAAAACATGACCATGTGGCCATAGATGTGAGAATGTTTTTCATTACTTCCTTGAATGTCCATTGTATACTATTCAAAGACATAAACTGTTAAAATCTTTATAACGTATTGTCAAAAATAGAACACTGATTGATATTAATCTTATCTTACATGGCAATGCAGGTCTCTCAATCACTGAAAACCAGAATGTTTTCAAATATGTACATATCTATATCTCTCACACAAAACACTTTCTCAGTTAACATCTGTTGTACATATCCTAGCCTATGTCTGTCACTTGTGTACTTTGTTGTAAGATGAATTGTGTAACTATCGGGAGAGGGCTGTCTAAGTTGGATAACTTGTGCCCAATCCTTTTCTTGAATGAATAAAATATGTTTAAAACAAACAAACAAAACAACAGATATTTTACATATTAACTACATAAATTGTAGATATAAATGTGAAAAAAAAGAAGTTTTTTTTCTATTTCCGACAGTACTTTAACTAATTTTATATAAAATTAACTTAACTGATTGTAATTATGTTCTTTCTATCAACTTAAGTTAAAACAATTACCCACTCATTTTGCGGATAAAAACAAATTCAATGCTTATGGCAACCACTATAAAGCCTACTTTATGAAAAGTGCCCACATATCCATAATTAGAAATTTGACCTTTAACTTTGTTTGGTCTGCAGGAAAATATATATTCTGATGTGCTTGACCTACTGTTGCTTTTAGCTAAATTCTTTATCTATAACTGTAAAGTTTTGACTGACTGACTGACTGAGTTTGGTTTTACGCCGCTTTTAGCAATATTCCAGCAACATCACAGCGGGGGACACCAGAAATGGGCTTCACACATTTTACCCATGTGGGGATTCGAACTCGGGTCTTCGGCGTGACGAGTCAACGCTTTAACCACTAGGCTGCCCCACCGCCCAGTAAAGTTTTGAAAACAACTCTAAATTTTAAATTCTCACTTTAAACATTATATCCACAACAGGTTTGTTATTGAAAGAAGTATTGCTACCACGAACTATAGTCTGTTTGGGTCAAAATGATACCAATGAATCATAATTGCTTCATGATCAAACATTCATTTCAATGTAGAATGTTATGAAAACATCAGATGAACTCAGGAAAAAAAGTTTCATAACGTTTTGTCTCCAAAATAAAAAAAATTACTTAACAAACTATCATCATTTTGTTTTGGATTTCTGTGTGTAAAGTAACAGTAAATTGTTGCAGGAACAGCCTCAAGGGCGGGAAGCACATGCAATTGTGACGTCACATCAAAACAGTACTTACGATGTTTGCTGTGATGCAATATACCGCGTTATAGCGTCCATAAATGTATGACGTCAGAAAACAGTAACTTTCAATTTGAGACTAATCAGGGACATAATTCGCCCTTTTTATCAGAGAAACAACATCTCAAGTCAAGAAAACTGAAGAAAATTCTTGAAGATGAACATGATATCTGCATTTCCAGATTTATAATATGTAAATTATTAGTGAAATTCGGATTACATTATAAATGAATATCCAGCACAAAAGTTTGACTCTGTGAAAGAGGTGATCTCGTGAGACTTAGGGCCAATTATCTGAGAAATATATCCCCCAAAAAGAGAAAACGGCTTTGAAGTAGTCTATTTGGATGAAACATGGATTAATGCTAACCACACCCCTTCATATCAGTGGCAGCACTCAGACCCCAAATAAGAAAACAGGAAGATTCCTTCAGACAAGGGTGAGAGACGTATCATTGTACACGCAGGGTCTCATCTGCATTTCCTACCAGGATGTGACTTGGTGTTTAGATCTAAATCTACTGATAGTCGTGGCTATCACACAGGGATGAACTCCAGTGTTCACAGAATACGCAGCTACTTCCTGCTCTACCTGAAAAGTGTTTGGTGGTGATGGACAACACACCATACCACAGTGTTAGCTAAAGCTACTAAAACTAAACTGTATGATATGATACTAGCTCACAAACTACCCCCTGTTTACTTGATTGACACCATGTTGAAAAAGCATGGTCATGAAATTCTACGTTTGCCGCCCTATCACTGTGACCTTAATCCAATTGAACAGATCTGGGGCAATTTAAAGGATTCAGGTTTTCAGGGGTCATACATGGACCCCAATACCCGCATTATGGCGAGGGATGATTGTACTTGGCCCCTGTGTGAAAGTGAATGTATACTCTCATCTAAGAGCTGCCTGTTGGAAAGTAATGTGACTGTCAGAGATGATGGAAATGTAGAAATGGTTACCAGATAGTAAATAGTATTAAACAAATGACAGTAAAGAGGTACTTGGATTGCATGGGTTCAAGGATGTTAATGTCGTCAACAAGCAGATGGTAAAAATCAGTACATGGATCAACTGGTTTACAGATGTTATCAGGGCGGTCATCCCCCTGATCAATCAATACACAGGTCACCAAAGTTGACATGAGCCTGAAACAGTTTTAACAACAGCCCCTTGGAGCATATCCCCAAGAAGCATGAAGATCTCCAGTAACCTCCAGTATGGATGTCTGCCCAGTTTCATGCATGCAATCATCTTATACAGCAGATTTGTCAGAACATTCCAGAGCTGCTAAAGAGAAGCATGCTGTCACAACTCCACAGTTCTTCAAGGGAAGACTAGTCTCCATCTTCGAAGAGGTAGACCAGCCTACCAATCAGACGTTCTGGACACATCTGTCCCCAAACATAAAGAAACCTGTAGCAAGGACAAATCTTTACTCGATGATGATGTCATAACAGCTAAGATGAACATTTTGGACAGCCAGGACTTCTAAAGACAATGTGGAAGGTCATTCTCGATAAAAATATATCATAAAAGTGAATATCTTCAGTTGAAATCTTTTTTCTGTGTGAGTGTCAATACTTATAAACTACCCCTTGTTCATGTTTCTGGTGAGGTGGTTTGGGGGTATGCAGAAAATGTTTGAATGGAGCTGGTTCTTGTTTAGCTTGTATATGTGATGAAAACACATTTCAGCTTGGAATATCGTTGTGATCAAACTGAAAAGTTGTGTAGGTGAAACAAGTGGAAGTCCATAGTTGACCACACACACAATAATTAGTTGACTTCTGCAAAATATTAAAGCTCAGTTGGACATCAGGTGCATTCATGTAGATGGATTTAATTCATGTAATTATGGGACTCAGTGACTCTTTCAAAAGCATTCTTTCACTGAGCCAGATGTTCAATCAGAATTCAGCTTTGACTTTTTTTTGCAAATATAGTAGTCATAGTTTCTGAAACACCAAAGAGGTTTCTCTGATATTGCAGAATCGACATCCATATGTTGGTGAAAGTGATAGGTATCAATCTGAATTTGGGGATTATTAGGCTAATGACTGGATTATGTATTATGAGCATGCACAAGGTGCATGCATATGTGTGCTATATGAATATACTATAATAATAAAAATAATAATACAGATGAAAGAGTGCATGAACTTGTGGTTTTGTAATTGGTTAGGAACCTGAATGAAATATGACCATCACCCTCACAATTTTCACTTCTTAGTTTTTTGGATATTGCTAAGTCACAACTAATACATTAATAGAACATCATATACAGGAAACTGGTTGCAAATGGTTTTGCATTATTTATCACAGGTTAGTAGTTGTGTCATGGACCGCCTCTGTGGTGTAGTGGTTAGAGCGTCCGCCCGGAGAGTGGAAGGTCGCGGGTTTGATTCCCGACCGCGTCATACCAAAAAACGTTTAAATATGGTACTTGTTGGTCCCTGCCTGGCGCTCGGCATTAATGGGTACAACAAGGACTGGTCGGCTCGGAGTCGGTATAACGTGTCTGAGTGGGGTATTCATGCTTCACTGCGGCATGGTATCTCAGTGGGCTAGCACTATAAAACCAGCTTCAGTCTGGGCTAGGACAAGCAGCCGCACATACACATACACACACACACGCATGCACATCGTCATATGAGCGAAATATTCTCAAGCACAACGTTAAACCCAATTTCACCTCACCAGTTGTTTCATGCTGTTTATATTTCAGTGCGACTTATCAGTTCTCATTTATGTTTTCAGTCAAGATGAAGATATGCATGATTTTGAAAAATACAAAGTACCAGCATTTTCCTGACTTATTGTGATTTGTACTCTCTAGTGTTTCATATCGTGGTATACCAGTGATGCTGCATCTTTCTTGGGTAGCAAAATATACATTGTCATCAAAAACATCTGACACTGATCATTTTCACATTAAGGAAATTAACAGGGAAAGAAACCTTTCAAAATTTCCCACTAGACCACAGGACCAGTGAGTGGACAATAGTTCGTGGTCCTGTCTGAACTTCACTGGTCCTAAATAACATTTGTAGATTTACTTAACTATCAATACAAAATTCACTGGCCACCAGGACCACATTCTCTTCCCACACAGGTTACTCAAGTGATATCTTCCCACGTACCTCTGTTCGGTCCTTTCAGGGTGCAAGTGTTCAGGATTCATGATTGGTTGCAATCAGATTTAGTTGTGCAATCAGCAACGTTGTTTCAAAAGTGATCATTCGATGATAAGAGTTTGCACAAGAAGTTTGATGGTGCCCAAGGTCATAAGATATCTGATTTTTCCAAGATCAGTGAGATGCCACCTATAGTTTATTATGAAAGGGATAGGGCTATGTGCAGTTACATAATGAGGGTTAAGACAGTTTGGGATTAACTGGAGATAATTTTCCCCAGCTGTATGCTTTATGTATAATTATCTTTTTTAATTTTTAGGCTTCTCTTGGATTCACTTGAGGCTGAACTTGTGTTCATGGCAAGGAATTTGTTAAGTACCTTGAAGGTATTACACTTTATTTTTATCACTTGATTAGCACCAGAAGTAAAAGCATTTAGTTCAAGACTCTTCTTACAAAAAGGTCTAAAAATAAACAGCATTATCTGCCACACTTTGTCTTATGGATATCATGTTGTTAATATGTTTATGAAAGACGTTGGCCTAGTGAGTGAGTGAGAGAGTTGAGTTTTACGCCGCACTCAGCAATATTCCAGCTATATGGCGGCGGTCTGTAAATAATCGAGTCTGGACCAGACAATCCAGTGGTAAACAACATGAGCATTGATCTGCGCATTGGGGAACCGATGACATGTATCAACCTATAGTCTGTTTGGCTCAAAAGCGGACCGATGAATTGCAATCTAACTCGAAAACTAATAAACATAAAATACTCAATGAAACGCTGATCATAATCAAAACATCATACCCACTCTGAGGGTTTTGCAGAATTTTTGTCCTAAAAATTAAAAAGTTGTTTAACAATCTATCATTAAAATATTGACACAGTTCACTATTTGTTACGAGGGAGGAGTGCAGAGAAAGGGACAGCCAGGTGTTCGAGAACTGATGGAGACGGCACAGCACAGGTTAATGAATAAATAACTTTGTCTGTGAACGTGCTTCTCGAACACCTGGCTGTCCCTTTCCTTGAGTATGTTATGTTTATTAGTTTTCGAGTTAGATTGCAATTCATCGGTCCGCTTTTGAGCCAAACAGACTGTAGTCAGCGAGCATGACCACCCGATCCCGTCAGTCGCCTCTTACGACAAGCATGGGTTACTGAAGATCAATATTCTAACCTGGACCTTCACGGGTAACGTTAGCCTAGATTACCCAGTCTAAAGGCCACTGTGTTCTAGTAACAACTTGTAACATGCAAAACAGTGGCATTGTCAGAACACCCTATCCATAATGATTTTAAATCACATATAACTAGTTTCAGCTGCGGGGGCAGTGGGGTAGCCTAGTGGTTCGAATCCCCACATGGGTACAATGTGTTAAGCCCATTTCTGGTGTCCCCCGCCGTGATATTGCTCGAATATTGCTAAAAGCGGCGTAAAACCATACTTACTCACTCACTAGTTGCAGCTGCATTGTAGCAATTCCTACTGAAAGTCACAGGCTCTTGAACATCTAATTGCTTAGGTCTATGTCCATCTCAGAGTGACTTCCCTTTTTTTGTGTTGACATGTCAGACACAACCAGAGAAACTTGATATTAGCAGAGAAGAAACTGAACAGTGTTTCACCTTGAGAATTCAGCTGTGAACCCATTAACACTAGCGTCTCTTCTTCACTTGATGAATTCATGCTGCCCAGTCATGCTTGAGAAACTTGTGAAATTCAAGTTGTGTGACACTCAAAGCAACACAAAAACCAAGTAGTTACAATCTTTTTAGTCGATGTATGCACCATAAGAATGCATTTTAATCCATTGCAGTTGGCAAGGCAGAGTTGTGTTCCTTGCAGAAAACATATACAAGGTGTCGTTAATGAAGGGTCAGATGATATATAGCACATGTAAAAAAAGCTTCTCAGTAATAATAGAACCATGAGTGTCATCATAATGTTTAATGTGTAGTAGTATAAGTAACGGGTGTTCTGCATCAGGATCTGCTTATGGTGTTATTTATGGCTAATTAAGCTCCCAGCGGCCCCTTACAAACAGCGGTTGATGAGGGGAACATCGTTTGATGACCCGGTATGGAAGAGAATTTTTTTAATTACGAATCCACATTGACAACGAGGAAACAGTTTATTGTGAATCTCCTATGAATTCTTTGGCTTTAGTAAGTAATGCTTGAAGGGCTTGTTCTCTCCCCAGTTCTATGAATTATTTTCTTCTCTTTTTCTCTAATGTCATTGGCTTTACGAGACTTTGTTTGAATCTCTTGTTTCATCGTGTTGTTATTGGTAAGTTCCGATATCACTAAACGAAACTCTTCTTCTGTTATCTCACTATTAGGATTGTGCCGTCGAGATATGATCTTCAATGCTATTTAACTTTGCTTCGGACAGAATGAAAAAAAACTAGCCAAACTAAATAAAGATACAAAACTCTCAAAAGTAGTTATTTATTATTTCTTTCATTAAGTTAAAAGTTAAACATCAACGTTACAATTTGTCAGGACCATTATCAATTGTTTCTTCTGTACCAGACTGCTATATCTTGTGTGGCGGATATTTCAATGCGCGCACCGGAATAGACCCCGATTTTATCGAGGATGATCTACTGGAATACACTGAAACCCAAAACCATTCGTACTGGGACTTTCTTATAGACTATTTCCATCTTAAATGGTTCTCTGCCGACAAGGTTTTAAACAGGTTTGGTAAAACACTTCTTGACATGTGCTCAGTTTTTAATATTCATATTATGAATGGTCGTTGTGGCAGTGATGCACAACTCGGAGATTTTAATTACATAGGTCTGAATGGTACAAGTGTTATTGATTATGTTATTTCATCAGCATCATTATTTGACTCTGTAAATGATTTCAGTATACAATCACGCATAGAATCAGACAATCTTCCCATTATATTACGAATAAAATCAAATCATAATAGAAAAGCTGGTAAAACACATGGTAAAAGATCTGAAATTACGTACAGGTTTACTTGGGATAATGATAAGTCAGGACAGTTCAGGGAAAATTTGCCTCCTTGAGGTTTAAAATTTTTGTTGTTCAGCGAAAAAACAATAACCGTCGGATAAATTGTGACGTTTGTTATCGATAAATAGCTTGTTGTTGTTTCTATTGATGATGATGTTCGTCCATTGCGGGTAATACGTGAGATTGCAGAGAGCTACTTCGAGTTGCCCCAACGTGTTATCGATAGCGCGAAGCAGTTGAATGGATTCGCCATTCGTTATTCCTGTGAGTGTAACGAACATGTTGAATGTATAAAGGTTCTACATTATACTTTTAATATGTACCCTCCAGGATCATGGTCGATGCGGGCAGTTCCCATTTCCAAGCATGGTTTCTCGATGTGTTTAAAAATTATAGGTTTCCCGTAATTAAATGTGAAAACGGAACATGGTTGGTTTTTGAGCCCGATACAATTTTTGCAAAATCAGTTCAACTTTGCCGTGTGGTGCGTGACAACAGCGTCTGGCGTGAACTTGACCGACTCTCCTCATGATGAACTAATTCATTCCGTTTTCTCGTTTCACGTTTACTACCAGATCAGACGCATCCTGAAAGAAATCAGCGCACCACTTCCGCAGGACAAAGGGAGGGATGCAACGAATAATCCGTACAATCAGCATGCGTACGAATGTATTTGTGACGAATTTCAAATAAATCCGAAAACAGATTGGCGTTTGTCGGGAGTGAATCACGGTTTGGGCATTCCCATTGTTCACAATATACCCCTAGTAGAAGCCAGCAAACTGCAAGAAGAATGGGGTGGTAAGACGCATGCGAAATCTTACATCATGAGTAATGAGTGGAGGGATGATCTTATGGCTTTTGATAATAGCAATGATTACCACCTTTGGAGGTTTTCACGTTTAGAAAAGATTCATGTTGGATATGTCGAAAGGGCTTTCTCAGGGGACTGCTTTCGACACACAGAAACAGTTTATTTTGCATCTCCGGTTGATATACCGACGACCATCGAGCGATATCAAGATGTACTGAAAAATGCCAGGTCTCAAGTAGACTACGTTCTCGGCGTAGGTTTGACTATGGCTCCCAGTGATATGAAACTGAGGGTGAACAAATTGGTAAGTTATAACAACGAAATCGTCATCGCGACCAGTGATCAGAAACAAGGCATGAACGCAGATATTAACGTCAATCACATCACACCACCCATGAATACTGGTGAAACAGGAATAGTAAAACCACCACCGGAGCCAACCGTTCAGACCTAATGACCAGGAGACGATGCTGCCGGCTTTACCTGGCAGCAGCGACATTGGCAGAAAGTCCCCTAGGTATTTCAAATGTTTTTTTAATCCATTCTTTCACACCTTTCTTGTCCCTTGGCAGTGTTGGGCTAGGTGTGGGGCTCGGAGTGGTACCACCACCAGTCAGAGAGATGGCTAAAGTCGATATAATGAACTCCAGCGCGCGATTAAAATGCCAGCTATACTGATCCCCTGTTCTCTGAATAACGTTCTGATCCTTTCAGCTAATATCATGTTGTGGTTCAGGACTCGGTCGATGGTTTCCCGCACTCGACTGATTTGGGATCGGAACGCTTCTCTGTTGGTGGAAGCTGCTTCTAATCGGACTGATCTTTCGTCTTTTAAGTTACGTAATCTTTCTTCGATGCGACGTCTGCTGATCTCATCATCTGCTCGTTCGAGTTTTGTTTTCTCTTAAGCAATACGATCGTCGAGCGTGTTCAGTTTGGCAATGTTATTCACAAGCGCTCTGCGCATGGTTTGCAGGGCCTTGTCTAGACCACGCAGTTCCTGAATGCTATAATTCAACTATGGTGTTTCTAATTCACTATCGTTGATCATGTCTTCCGTTCGAAGGTTCTTGAGCGCGTTGCGGTACATTTCTCAAATCGTCTAGATCAAGTGCAGTCGCTGTGGCACTGAGCTCTGTTTGCTCTGTTTGTAAAGCCTTGGTGACCTTCGCGGAAAGTTTGTGTCGTGTGCTGTGGTAATCCACTAGTCTTAATTTATATCACGGAGAAAGTCAACACCATGGAGTCCAGCCAGTGTGGACAAGGTGAGGGGTTTTCCTGTACGGACATTTACGAGAGCGGCATTCGGAGCAGCTTTCAGTTGCAGTTTCCCTCTCTCATCGATTTTAGACTTAATCGCGATATGTAGGCAGAATGTAATTTTTATCTTGCTTCAAGGCATTGTAGTATTCATTCACAGTTCTTTTTTAAAAGTTCATCGCTGAGAGTGTTACCCATGACTGAGGTTTGATCTTCATCTTTTCCCAAGGACCTTTCCTCATCCAAATAGTTCATCTCAACATCTTCATCCGGAAATTCATATACATACTTTCAATATAACAATGTCTGCATCGCAAT